TTAAAAATAATAATAATAATTTTCTTATTCAATTCACGACTGTTTGTGGGACGCTGCTGTGCGCAATTGGCTGCCGCATTTTGCCCACAAAACATACAGTCAATTCACTCTACAGTATATTCTGTGAAACGCTTTGAGACGTCTAGAAGACGTAATAAGGCGCCGTGTCAAATGCAAGGATTGTTATCATAAAGCCACCAGCTTGGCACTAAATGCAACTTTTTAATTCTGAACATGTAGCTGTGAGCAGATATAGTCACGTTGTTGTGGCTGGCTGACAGCTGGTAGGAAAACCTCTCACTTGCTGTATTAATTGCCTTCTTTTGCCTATGCAAAACAGCTTGTTTTTCTTGTTCATGGGCTTTATAAATGTCGCCGTTGCTTTTATCTGTGAGGCCACCCCTAACTTCCGCGCGCTTCATTTCAGATTTTTCTTCTTAATCCCCAAACTAATTGTTCCGTCATGTATCTCTCTCTTGATCCTTGGCACAAATGAGAATGGGTTGCCAGTTGCTGTACTTTCATGGAGAAAAATAAATCTGTTGTAAAAAGAAGAACAACTTATTTGAACTCATCACATTTCTCTGGCTCCCCATCCCAGAGTGGATCGAGTTCACGATCCTCGTACTAACGTTCAAATTCCTCCACAGTCTCGCCCCACCCTACCTTTTTGACCTCCTCCAACCACTACAACCCATCTACTCAGTGAGCATCAGCTGATTCAATTGTGCGCAATTGGCTGCTGCATTTCGCCCACAAAATATACAGTCAATTCACTTTACAGTATATTCCATGAAGCACTTTGAGACGTCTCGAAGATGCGATAAGGCGCTATGTCAAATGCAAGGATTATTATTATTACACATGCAAATTCCCTGTCTGTTCAGGTGAATGTTAAAGATCCCATGGCACTATTTGAAATTCTTGGGTCGAATTTAATTTTAGGGCTATTTGATCACATCCTTACAGAATATCCCTCTCCTGTCTCCCCTTTACAGAGTGGCTGTTTCCTAAATGTGTCCCATGTCCTGGTAACCTGCTGGTAACCTGCTTCAGCTGTTAAGCGCTCTGAGATGCTGCCCTGCATGAAACATGCTATATAAATACAAATTGATGTTGTTGTTAATCTCTGTTTGTCTGAAGTTATATGTGCCTCTTGTACTCACACTCTCTGCTCACACTCTCTATTCACACTCCCTGTGCTCACACTCTGTCCTCACAGTATGTGTTCCCACTGTATTATTATCTGGCTGTATCCTAGTCCTTGTGATGGACAGAAATGTGCTGTTTCTGCTCTGAAACTCTGAATATCCTCATGGTGGAGCTTGCTTATTGAATTAGTTTTCAATTGGAAATCAGTCTCCTTCATTAATCCATCACTTTGCTGTACCAGAGCCACAATTTTGGTTCCGACTGCGAGTTAGTCCTCAAATACCAATTCTTCGTTCCACAGATAAAGAGGTTTGTTTGGGTCAAAATATATCGGATAGGACTCGTCTGGATCTGAAATTGTAGCTTTCAAGTCAGCGTCAGCTACTGTAAAAGCGAATGGTTTGTCCACTCCTCTGATTGCTTTTCCCTGGGCTCGCTTACCATGTTTAAAGTTGATTTCCAATTGAGTTGTCGTTACTGTGAAACCTTGACTCTTACCAATGTACACGATCTGCATTTAGAACAAGAGAAAGATGCTTCAAGTCACCAACAATGTAATAATAATAAGAATGATAGTACTTGTGTTTGATACGGGGCCTTATCACGCTGTTGAGACGTCTCGAAGCGCTTCACAGGATATAATGTAAAGTGGAGCATCTGTGTATTTTGGGGATAAAATGTGGCAGGCAATTTTCACACAGCAATGCCCCACAAACAGTTATGGTATATATAAGTGACCAATTTTGAGGTGCCAATATAGTCTGCACTTTATAGTAAAATCCCGTGAAGCACTTCGCGATGACACCAAGATAAGATAAGGCGCTGTATCAAATGTGAGAATGAATATGTCATGCCTAAGTTATAGATTATACATATTATAGGGATTAGGGGATATGGGGATAGGGCAGGTAATTAGAGTTAGGTCAGAAGATCAGCCATGACCTTATGAAATGGCGGTGCAGGCTCGAGGGGCCGAATGGCCGACTCCTGCTCCTAATTCTTATGTTCTAATATTCTTATGTTCTTATAGAATTTTTTTTGCTGTGTGTGCAGGCATTGGCTGAAAGTATACAGTAACTTTCCAATTTTCCTTATTATAGAGAATGATAGCGTAACCTCATCAATCAAAGTAATTTATGTATGAAAATTTGACGTGGGCGAAATTTGACGCGGAAGCCTTCATTCTGGCAGATCGAAACTTTTACTAGCCGTGTCAGCTGCTTTTTTTTTGTGTAGCATAACAAAACATATAATAGAAGCAGAGGAGCCTATTTTAGAGATAGCCAGAGCTGTCTGAAAAGCCACACAATTGCCATTTAGGTATTCCTGCTCTGTGCCTTGTGCAGACTGTAAAGTGTGGCGTAATTGGTAAAAAAAATTGTAGCTCGGGAAGTGAGCCTTTTGAAGCTAATAGCCTTGGCCAATTTCAGCTTGAAGCCAAGAATATAATACACTCTGAGGCTATTGAACACTGAGGGCTTGTTTACGTCATTTGAGAGCTGCTGGAGGCAACATGTGAAATGATTAAAACGTTGGGATTCGAGTAGGTTAAAATTCCAGACGCTCTCTTCCATTCCGTTTGTTTGATAGCAGTGTTTTTTTGCTGTAGAGTTTTTGCGAGTGCTGCTGACTTAAGTGTGTGTTGTGGAGTGTGCTAAGCTAAGTATAGTGTAGCGAGTTCTGCATTTCTAATCACCCACAGCCTACTATCCTGTCCACATTCCACTTAATTCACTGATGTCCCTGGGCGTAACAAGCACTTTCCTCCCTTAGGATCTTCCCAAGAACACACAGTCATATTGCACTTTACGTATACTCAATGAATGCGTTGGGGGACATCCTCCTGACGTGAAAGGCACTGTAACCAAATGTAAGGAGTATTATTGCGTGGGATGTCAGGAGACATTTCTAATATAAAACATCAGCCTTTAAAGATCTTGGGCGAATTCCCATCAATTTAGCATAGCTTCAGCTCAACTAAAAATCTGCCATAATGATAATAATCCTTGCATTTGATATAGCGCTTTTCACGTCGGGAGGATGTCCCAAAGTGCTTCACAGAACCTACTGTAAAGTGAATTGACTGTGTATTTGTGGGCGAACGCGGCAGCCAATTGTGCACAGCAATGTCCCACTAATAGTTGTAGATTGAAAATGACCAATTTATTATTGTTTTGGGTTTTGGAGGGATTATTATTAGGTGTGTGGAGTAAGGAAACTTGCCCAAGGTTTCGCCCTCTGCCTGGAATTGAACTCATGTCTCTCGCTTGCAAAGCAAGTGCTCTAACCACTGAGCTACAGACAATCTGCAGGTTTCTCCCCCACTTCCCCTCTCCCCCCAAGGAGAGCAAAGCAAAGGTTTCTTTTCTTACCAACCCATCGGAAGACACTCTTTGGTCTTCTGCTGAAGTTCAAAATCCACCCGTGCCTTGACAGCACAATACAGTTTACATTTATATAGCGTCGGGAGGACATCTCAAAGCGGTGGCCAGGAATTCTTGTGAGTGAGGGGAATGGAGCCCAAAGGAGGATGGGTTTGGGGAGAGGGAGAATTGAGGGATAGGAAGGTCCTTCGTTTCTCCGTCGTTCTGTGCAGGGACTCTGTCCCGCATGATGGGCGCTATGTAAATGCAAGCTGTTGTCTAAGTGTCTGTTGTCCTGTTCTCTTCTGGGGGGGAGACAATGCTGGCGCCACTGAAAAAAAATTTGGTCACTCAATCCACGACTCTTTGTGAGCGCTGCTGTGCGCAATTTGGCTGCCGCGTTTTGCCCAGAAAATATACACTTTGCAGTATATTCTGTGACGCGCTTTGAGACATCTCAATGATGTGATAAGGCGCTGTATCAACTGCACGGATTATTATTATTATTACTATGTAATTGAACTTAATTTAAGAGGAACCAGAAGCAAGAGACCATCAAGCAGTTGACAAGTGAGATGAATAAAGATGAATGTTTGAGGCGATGATCTCTCTCTCTCTCTCTCTCTCTCTCTCTCTCTTTCTCCTCCAGAGTTAAAGGGTTTAGGTAATTCTAAAATAGAATAGGAGGGCACGTCCAACCCTGAGCTCGGATGGTGATCCTGGATTAAGATTCATCCGCCACACACATTTGTAGTTGTTCAATACCCTGGGATGTGGCAGGATGTGACAGTAATAAGAATAAGTTGGGCAATGTATGGAAGACAATAGAGGTTGTGGAGCCCAGTGAAATCGAACGTAGTGGCTTTCTGATGGGCGCTTAGTGCATTGTCTCATCACAAAGTTCGCCCTACAAAGTTCATAATAATTAATAATAAAAAAAAATTTCCTGTTAGTAATAGTAATAATAATAATCCTTGCATTTGATATAGCGCCTTATCACGTCTTTGAGCGCTTTGAAGAATAGACTGTAAAATGTAGTAACTCTATATTTTGTGGACGAAATGCAGCAGCCAATTGCGCACAGCAGTGTCTCACAAACAGTAGTGGCTTAAGTGAGCAAATTATTATTATTATTACTTTTTTTAAAAATCGATGCTTTACTCGATATTATTTTTAATGGGGAAAGGGGAGGAGAGGGATGGGGAGGAGAAAAATACTTCATTTGGCTGCTGTAAATTATGCCTGTCTGACCATTTAAGCAACGAACGGGTTAAACACAGGCAGGGCTTTGCTTAAAAGAACAGTTTGGGGAGAGGGGGGCATGAATAAATCATCCCCCAAATTGCACTTTATTGGTGAGCGTACAGGCTTGCCCTTTCTCACAATTGGCTGATGTCAGACTTAGCACATTAGGCTGACACCTGGACCCTTCAGTTAGAATAGAGGTTTTTCAGACAGGGATGGAAAGCTTCCCTCTCTGTCTGTCTCTTTCTCTCACTCTCTCTCTTTCGCTCTGTCTTTGAGCACCTCAGGGGTTTAGGCGCTGTACTGGAGGAGAGAGATGTAGGCATGGAAACGAGCAAAGCTAGTTTACCAAGGCTTATACGTCAGATATGAAGAGGGGAGGGAGTCAGGCAAGGGGACTGGACTAGCAGACAGGGCTGGGCTGGGAAAGGATGATATACACTGAACCGAAGCTGAGATCAGATGCTGGAGAGAAGCTACCAGCCAAAAGGCGCACGAAGCGAGAGAGGAAAAGTACAGTCAACGCGATTGATATTAATCACTGAAATCTACATGATCTGCGGCTGGGAGAACCAGAAGGAACACAGAGAGAGGGAGAGAGAGGGGGGAGAGGAGAGAAGGCAAGCGATGGAAGTCTTTTGAATCAATCGTAGCCCTGATTGCTGTGAGAAAATACCGAGCTGTTATTTTTTTGTGTGCATCAACATCTCTTATTAGAGCCAGTGGCGTGGATCTGTGTGAGTTGATGATTACTGGGCATGTGTGTGTGGGGAGGATTCTAACGTGGGGTGGGCTTGTTTTTTGGGAGAAGGTAGGAGCAGAAGGAGAGGGAGAGATAGAGTGAGAGAAGAGAGGGCAGAGCAGAGGATCATTAAAGTTGATGGGAATCTTGTTCCATTGCTCCATCCTTCAAGTCTGGCCGGCTCAATGGAGGAGAGAAGAATAAAGATTAAGGTGGCAAGAGATCTGTGCACAAGTTGGGGGCGAAGCCAGGAGAGGAGTGCGTTTTGAATCCTTTTGCAAGTCACTTTTCATTGTCCTCGTTGTTGTAGTTGTCTCTCTTTGCTGCTGTGGGCCAGCTGACTGAATGTGGGGAAGCAGCTATCGCTTTTGCCTTGAGGAAGTGGCGGTGAGATCCATGGCTCTGAAATGCGCCCGAGAGCCGGGGGAGACAGGTGAGGGTGGCCAGCGCCCGGCACGACAGAGGCAGCCATCCCGCACTGTCAAGCAAATCACCCTCGCCTTCGTGAAGCAGGCAAAGATCCACGGGGTGAGGCTGGTCTGCTCCCGGCACTACCCATTGCATCGCAGGGCGGTCTGGTTCCTGATCGTCTGCACTTCCCTGGGCCTCTTGGTGTCCTTCGCATCCAACAGGTTCCTCCACCTGCTCTCCTTCCCGTCTCACACCAGGCTACACATGGAGTGGACCAAGGAGCTGCATTTCCCTGCCATCACCATCTGTAACAACAATCCCATCCGCTTCTACCAACTGACCAAGAGTGACCTGTACTACACCGGACACTGGCTGGGATTGCTCATGGAGAACCACACGGCTCGGCCCTTGATCATCGAGCTGATAGGGGAGGACAGGATCCAGTGGTTTCAGAAACTTTCAGACTTTCGACTTTTCTTGCCGCCTCGGAACTACGAGGGCATAAGCATGGACTTCATGGATCGACTGGGCCATCCCTTGGACGATATGCTCCTCTCGTGCAAGTACAGAGGAGACATGTGCGGTCCACAGAACTTTACCTCAGTGAGTCAGTCTGGTCTTTCTTCTTTTAAAAAAAAAAACTTTTTTCCCCCAGTTATTAATAGTTATAGTGATAATAATACTATTATCATTTGCATTTGATCTAGCGCCTTATCGCCTTGTCATTAAGACATCTCAAAGTGCTTTGCAGATTGTACTGTAAAGTGAATTGACTATGTATTTTGTGGGAGAAACGCGGCAGCCAATTGCGCACAGCAGTGTCCCACAAACAGTCGAGGATCCAGTGAGCAAATCATAAATTTTTTTTGGAGGCATTATTCCCCCCAGAAAAAGATCTGCCAATCAACTAACAACCGGGGCTCCTACTTACTGCTAGGTAAACAGAGGTGTTGAGATGCTTCCAAGTACCTTTCCTCTTTTTTTAGTGGGGGGTGGGGGGGGGGAGGGTGGCGCGCGGAGGGGTTTTATCTCTTTTGTAAAGTTTCTTCTGAAACTAACCATTCTGTTCCTACACAAGTCTCTACAGCAAGACCTTGTGAAGCACTTTGAGACTTCAGTAATAGGAAACACACTATTGATTGAACACGGACTTACCTAGACTAACGATCATAACGCTAACCCATGTGAAGGGCGCTATATAAATACAAGTTGTTGTTGTGTGAATGTTCAGGGAGGTTGCATCTTGATGGCCCTGTGGGCCATGGGTTGTGATCATTGCTGGTTGAGTATCTCCAAGGCAGAGCTATGGGGTGTTCTGTCTGTGGTTGATGTATTAATGTAAGGGCCACTGAGATGACAGCACGTTTGCTTAGTGGTATTCCCTGAGCTCATTCTCTGGACACTATCACTTTTAGGCCACTTGCCAGAGCATGAGTCACTCTACATAATGGCAAAAGAAAAAAAATCCGATCCGACAGATTTCTCAGACCAAAGAACGCAGTAGACACGAAACCGAGTGACACATTTAATAGTGATATATGAAACGAGCGAACAAACCTTCCATTATTTGGCTGCTCCCAGCAGTTTGTAGGAGTAAAAGAATGCAACGCGTCAGCCACTCTGAACTCTGAGTCACAAGGTTGCGGTTTCAGGGACTTTGAGCTCATGGGCCAGCCTGACGTTCCACTCCAGTGCAGTTCCTTGTCGTATGTGCCATCCTACAGATGAGATGTTAAACCGAGGTCTCATCTGTGCCCCTGTTCAGGCGAACGTTAAAGATACTGTACCACTACTCGAAAAGAAAAGGGAGTTTCCCCTGGTGTCCTGGCTTCCAATATTCCCAAACAAAAAACAGTCACTAGTTTCGTGGCTGCTTATGGGACATCACTTGTATGTATGTCAGTTGGCTGCCCTGTTGTCCACAAATACATGATCGCTGCACTTTACCGTAATTAGTTGCTGTGTTTCGCCCACTTAAAATAAAATACACAGTCAATCCACTTTACAGTATATTCTGTGAAGTGCTTTGAGATGTGATAAGCTGTTAAATCTGATACAAGGATTATTATATCAAATGCAATGATTATTATTATGTATTAGTATTAAATAAATCCTGTGAAGAGCTTTGAGACGTCTCCATGTTGTGCCAAGGCATTGTATGAAATGAGAGGATTATTATTTCTGTTGTAATGAATGTATCATAACTCGTGGCATTGAGATGTGATGAAATTTCTTTCATCCTCATTGTTGTCCTGAAGCAGCATCAGCAGCAGCTGCTGTGGAGTTCCTGTTTCTACATTTGCTATTTGGCATCTGTTACAAAACCATTTGTAATGGATGCTCTTGTTAGGCAACCAGAAGTACTTCACGCTGATTTGCACAGCCTCTACTCGTGTACAGTCTATTTGCTTACAAAATGCAGTTCATTGAACTTTGCATTGTCAGCTTGGCTCAGTTGGTAGCGTTCTCGCCTTTGAGTCAGAAGGTTGTGGGTTCAATCCCGCACGTTGGGACTTGGAATCGCATCGTCTAAACTGCCACTCCAATGTGGTGCTTCCTTGACAATCTGTTCCAGTCGTTATTTACACTCCGGGTAAAGAAATACTTCCTGGTGTCTGTCCTGAAATTGCCCTCTTGCCACTCTAAACCTCTAATCTTTAGTTATAGTTGATCCGATTTTCTCTCGTTTACAGTGTTTCAAATCCCTGACTTTCTAGCGCCTTGAGAAGTCGGTAGCCCTCTCGTCTCTTGGTCAGAAGGTTGTGGGTTGAAGCCCCAAATCATGACTTTCAATTTACAAACTCCTGTTATGAAAGGAGCTATACAAATGTAGTTTTGTATTGTATGTTTCCAGGGTGTGGTAAGCTTCTGTTATGTTTTGGTGACCAGATTAGTCATGTTTAAGAAGTAATCCGTGATACAGTGCACGTGGGAGGCTGATGTGCTTGTTATTGCAATGCTATAAACAGTAAAACATGTTTTTGTTACAGCTGTTACTTTTCGCAAAAAAGCTTTGAAAACTCTTAACAACAGTGCGACAACTCAGTGACACGCTCAATCTTACTTGTGTTTAAATGCAGCTGCGATCAATGGGCTTAAAGTCTCCTCTTCCCATTGGCTTCAAGGTTTTACTGTGATGCGAGTCTGGGGCATGCTTAGCTCCACTTATATTCAGGCCCCAGCTCCCAGCACAAATTAACACCAATTTAGACTCTTAGTCCTGCTGTAAACATATGTGGTGGAGAAAGTGGAAATATTACATTAACACAGTAGGTGGCGCTACTCTAATGTTGAATCGAAGGCGCAATCTGGGATGAAAGGGAGTTTGACTCCAGCTGTAACTGAATAAAAAATAATCCTTGCATTTGACCCAGTACCATCTCACGTCTTCGAGATGTCTCAAAGGGTTTCACAGGATATACTAGCGTAAATTGTAGTGACTGAGTATTTTCGCTCCACCTGATCTGCGATTTTGAAACTCGGCTTCTCAGAATCTGAATGCAAACGTCTTTTCAACCGATTCAACCAGAGTCACCAGATATACTACAAAGTTCACGCCAAGAGTTGTACTTCTAAGAAATGTCGATGACAAGGGAGCAGCAAGAAAACAGTTATCAGACAATGTATAACTTTATATAACTGTGTAAGTGATCGTACTGAATCTCTTGCACTGTTGTACAACAGGGTAGATGTCAGCCTATCTCAGCTTCTAAGTCAACAAATTGTGGGTTTAAGCCCCAAATAAGGATATCGGACTCACATCGTCTAAGGTTGACACTCCAATACAATGCTGGGGGAGCGCTGCATTTCAGAGGTGCCGTCCTTCGGATGAGATGTTAAACCGAGGTCCCAGCCACATGTTAAGAATCTTAAGGCACTATTGGAAACGAAAAGGGAGTTTCTACGGTGTGCCAACCAGCAGTCCCCCCAGATAGAGTCGGTCATTCAATTCATGGCTGTTTGTAGGACATTACTGTACTGAAAATGTCTCCTGTAATTGCCTACAAAACGCACAGTCACTATACTTTACAGTAAATCCTGCGAAACGTTTTGAGGTACCCTCCTGATATGAAAGGTGCATGTATGAAACTGCAAGTTTTTATTACAAAAACTGCAGAATAGAGCAGATTTTTGAATTCAACCTCAACTTTGAAGCCCGCTTTGTTTAAAGAAAGTCACTGGAGAACGAGTACCAAATTGAGTCTGTATTTTAAGGATTTGTCAAATTGTGAACACTCTCAAATCCCCAATTTATACTGTAAATAATAATAATTATTATTACTGTTTGTGGGACACTGGTGTGTGCAATTGGCTGCCCACAAAATACAAAGTCACTATACTTTACAGTATTCTGTGAAGAGCTTTGAGACATCTCTATGACGTGATAAGGCGCCATATCAAATGCAAGGATTATTATTATTATTAAGAATAAATATGGCATTTTTCCCCGAGTGTCGAGATTGGCACAGTGCAAACAATCGCACCGTGATTTGTGTTATTGTGTGTGAATGATGATGATGGGAGCTGGCACGCTGTGGTTAAGTGGAAATAGGAGACGCGTGTGAAGTGTAAACCCTGCACGAACTGGTTGGGTCGAGAGGCTACCATATCAGCTTTCTAAGTGAAACTTTCTAACCAAGTTAGAATATCACTGTAGTCAGCATTTCCCTGTAATTCAAACGTACCATTTCTTCTCAGTCAGTCTAACAAAGTCTAACACGTCTCAGACATGCACAGTGGGTTTTGGAGCCCACTATTATCAATCTCAATTGCAAGGGATGTAGACAGGGGCAATGAAATGCTAAGAAATGCTCGGTTGAAATTCGGAACATTTACGGTGGAGATGGGGATGGGGAGGATGCAATTCATCAACTACCTGTAATTCATAAACTAGAAAATGAAATCATTCAGAACTCAGAGAATAAATGAAATATTCACAGTAATTTAATAGACAGTACCATGAATAACGGAATTAAAGTCGATCCTATTCATATCCAAGTTGCTGAGATCCTGTAGGCCTGCGGCTCAGTGGTTAGAGCACTCGACTTCCAAGCGAAAGGAGCTGGGTTCGATTCCCAGGCAGGGCAAAATGTTGGGAAAGTTTCTTACTCTACACTCCTCTGTTTGCCTAGCAGTAAGTAGGAACCTGTTTGTTCGTCAATTGGTGGATCGCTTTTCTGAGGGTAATAATTCCTTAAAAAAAGCAAAAAAAAACTTTCCACGACTATTTGTGGGACACTGCTGTGTGCAATTGGCTACCGCATTTCACCCACCGAATATACAGTCAATTCATTAGAGAAAATTGGTCAGGAAATCCATAGCTCTTTGTGGTGCAGTGCTGTGTGACAATTGGTTGCTGTATTTGACTGCAAAACACACAGTCACTACACTTTACAGTAAATCCTGTGAAGCTCTTTGAGATGTGCCTCCAACATGAAAGTTGCTGAATCGAATGTGAGGATTATTATTAATATTATAAGAATAATATAATAATAATAATACAAAACAGTAATGTCAAAGCTGCTCTATAAAAATAACTGGTGCAAAGGCACTCTACACCACCAGTCTGTCCCCTTCTGCTCTATTTAGGAGTCCTGCAGCTC